ATCCAGTGGTGAACTAGGAGGTACTGTCAAGGCAACCCTTGAGCCGGGGATAGCTTTGGYAGYGAGTACACRACAACGATGGYAGGTATTGGGMWGGTTGAGGTGTCTTGGGAGTGTTGAGTCTAGTCTGGGGGAAGCTAGTGGATCCAAAAAAGGGGGCTTGCTGGTTTTTAATAATTTTTGGCGGCTTTTGCTTTTCTTCTTTATTCAGGAAAAAAAAATAAAAAAAATTCTTAGTTTTCAATCATGTAATATCAAGCTTTCTGGCGTTCTGTAACTCTTGGCGGCATCTGGCCTTCTTCCTCATTCGGGATATAGGATTTCAGAGATGATCGAATCTGGACTGATATCTGCAGAGTTACTTTGTTCGGTGCCCCTGGTTTGCCGATGCCAGAACGACGTTGGCTGGAGCTGGGGCGTTGCCCTGTAACCTGCAAATGGCAGGAGTGTGAAGCCTTGTAGAGAGATATGGGGATTTGCTGAGGGAGGAAGGCAATCCAGTGGCGAACCGGGGGGGCTGCCTTGACAACCTATGGGTCCAGGGATAGTCTAGGTGGCGAGAACAAGTCAGCTATGGTTGACGTTGGTTAGGATGGCATTGTCTCTGAGATGTAATGTCCTGGTACAGGGAGGGCTAGGAGTTGTTCCAGGATTAGGAGACCAGAATTGCTGATATAGCATAGTCTTTTTTATTTTTTCTATTCTAATCATCATCATCTTTAGCATCATCATCATTAGTATGATTATCTCACAGTTTACACAGAAATTCATCATCATCATCATCATCATCATCATCATCATCATCATCATCATATGAGGGAAGTTGAGCCCGGTTCTCAGCATGTTCTGTTCGGTCACTCCGGGTAGACTGTGAGGACTCCGGCCTCAATCTTCTTATTGGTAATATCAGCCTTGGGCACTGGGCCCGTTTAAAAAAAAAAAAAAAAAAAAAAGGAAGATAGTCTCCTCCTCCCCCCATTTCCCGCCCTGCTTCTTTCTTTGCACTGTTGTAGAATCGACACCCTGTCTAGCAGGCTTGTCCACCGTTTGTGGCTCAGCTGAACGTTTTACATTCTCAACAGCGCGAGTGTCCTCCCTCCATCCCCCTCGGAAACCACTCACGTTCTTACCAGCAGGGACCTTCTCCGGCTTTTTATCCCCCACTACGGAGACACGCACTTGCCCTCCCGAATCTGGCACGTGACCGTCTGCATGGACACTGACTTCGTCCGGTTCTTGGACTTCATCACTACTGTCTTCCGTTTCGGATTCAGAATCGGAGCTAATGTCGACACTGCATGGCTGGAGATCGACTCGGACGTCATCGGACGACAAAGTGCGTTCATCTTTGTCGACATCCATGTGGTGTGATTCCAGAAGTGCATCCCTGACGTTCTGTGCTTCGTGTCTGTAGGTGTGCCCACTCTCCGCAGTGCAGGGCAGGCCTTCGCAACGCAATTCATCTGACCGCAAGGAGTCTACGGACTTTGAGATTACATTCTGCTTAAGTTGCACTTGACATGGCGAAGGCAAGGGCAGTGAAGGAATTACGAAGTCGGCGGCTGGCACTGAAAGTTGCACAGGAGTGCACGGCAATGGCGACTGCGGAGGAGTGCAGTGTGTTCGGAGAGAATGCTGATCACGGAACTGTACAATTGGTGGACACAATGGGGTTGAGGGCAATGACAGATGCTCGCCGGGTGTTTGCGGCAACACCGCAAGCGATGGAGATGCATGCCGTAAGTGTGTGGCCAGGTGAGTTGAAGACACGATCGGAGTTAGGTGATGTCGATGTGAATAGGTGGACGACACAGTGGGCGGACACAAATTCCACATCTTCCCAGGTGGGTAAACCGACGGGGTGCTCAGATGAGGACTTTCCGTATGCTATCGAGGTTGCCAGTCGTACTCAAGGACATGTTGGATGGGAGAGAGGTACAACCCCGTAGATGCACGTCCTCAGAGCTGGCGGACACGACGCTGTTCGCTGCAGCGGCACGAAGGAACAGTTGCCTCCTCACAGCGGCGATGCTCTCCTCGCCCGCATCCCCTCTCAACGCCATTGTGGGTTGGACGAACGTGCCGCCCCAGCTGCCGCCATTGCGATCTTCTCCTTCACCAGCATGTTCCCCAGGAGGTGCTCGCCATCCATCCATAGATAGAAAAGATCGTTGCAGACTGAAACGCGCAAGAACGCTTCCTTACCCCGCAACAGCGGTCACGCGAGTGCTTTAGATATCGGGCATGACGTCGCTTCCGAATGATGAGGCACCAACTTCATTACACACCCACGTATTTATATTACAATATGGAGAGAGAGAGAGAGAGAGAGAGAGAGAGAGAGAGAGAGAGAGAGA